ACCTGAAATAGTAAACCAATTATTATTTGTAAAGCGAAATAGTCAGTATTTAAATATTTGGTCTTAGTCTTTCACCTAAATGTTAGGCAATCTACATAGCATTACTTTCAATATTATCTGTAACTAAAAAATATTATATATTTTTTTTTTTTTTTTTTTTTTTATATTTCCCTGTTTCTTTATTTATCTTCCTTTTTGATTCCTATTTTGTTTATGTATTTTTTTTTAGTTATAGTTTTCTTTTTGCTTCTTAATGTTATTTTTGTATTGGTGATACAGAATTTTACTTTCTTGTGCTCTCGGTAAAGAAAGAAAGATTAAAGGGATTAGTTCTTGATAGGCTGACAAGGTCTCCTGACATGTATGTAAGTCAGTGTGCCAAGTTGCATCTGGGCACAGTATCTGTAGCCGGGTAATGTCAGGCTCATAATTGCAAAAGGCATTTACTAGAAATAGGTTTTATTTTTTTTTAAGACAGATTTCACTATGTAAATATTTGTATTGTAGTACCGGCAAAACTATCAAAGAATAAAAAAAAAAAAAAAAAAAATACAAACAAACCTTTTTATATAAAATAATCTAATATTTTTTAACAAAATTTAGATGAATTTAGCAAATATAATATATTTTACAAGATTCTTGTATTATAAACTTCTTGTTTTATATAATATTTACTATTGTAATTATCAAAAAACATTCAACTAATGTCTATTTATTATACATTTAAAATAAAAAAAGTAATAATAAAAAAAAAAGTAAAATACAAGAAAATATACCAAATTAAACTTATATTTATTATTATTTTTAATATTAAATTTTATATATTCTTGTATTTAATATATTAATGAAATTTATCTGCTTGACTAATCTAAAAAGATTGAAGTATTATGAATATTTAATCAAAATTATATTCTTTTTTATTATTTATATACAAATACCAAATAATTTTAGTTTTGGTTTTAAAAAAAAATAAAATATAAAAAATTGCAATCATCAAAGTATAAAATAGTTTATAAATTTTCTCAATATTTTTATAAGATACCTGTTTTTTAAAAATATATTTTATAGAAAGTTTTTGCTTATACATATCTAACAAGCTGTTTTTTATATTAAGATCTTGAAAACTTTAAAAAAATTTTGCAAAAGAAGGTAAAATAATTGCCTATCTTTGAAGAGACTATATATTGCTAAATAGTATTAGTTTTTTATATTCTTTATACTGTTCAATTCATTAAAGCTCTGGCAACTTATTTGTTTTAAAGAATATTGTGTTATAACTAGTAATTTGAACTGAGAAAAATTTCTTTAATCGGTTAACCAAACTGAATTATTTTATTCAGCCAGTTGTCAACCGGCTAAGAGTGCCTATTTCTACTTTTCGTTTTATCTTCGGAAATTGCCCATCTTTTATTCTCTTTTCAGAACTTTTCAGAACATTTACTCTCTCCTCAACCGATTACCCAAATTTCAACTGGATATATCAGGTCAACCGATTAAGAATTTCCTCAATCGGTTAACCGAAATTATTCAGTTCAGGTCGATTAACCGATTATAGGCCAACTGATTCAAATCACTATGGATAATCTGTAATCAACAACCATTTTGTGTAGTTGAAGATGAAGATCTCTGAATTTGTTTATAACAATGTTTTCAAGGTATATTACAAAATCAAAAAATAAGAAAAAAAAGAAAAAAAAAAATAGAATATTTTGTTCTAACTAATTTTTATTATTAATTAAAGGCATTAAAAGATAGTATGTTAAAGCATGGAACATCATGAACTAAAGCCAAGAAAGATTTTGGTTATTGGAGAAAATTCTTGAGCAAGAAAACCCAGAATATTGATGGCAAACAGATTATTAGAATGGATTAAATACTGGTGTTACAACATGTATTTTTATATTTTTCTTTTAGAGGCTTAATATAATTTTTGGTAATACTATAACAACACTTTGAGGCAAAAATCTAATTGAAAAATCAATGGTAAGTTTATATATAGTTTTAATAAAGACCTTTGGATAAAACTTTTAAAATCTTTAAAACTCTTAAGGGTAATTATGTAACATTAATTTTTAACATGCTTTATCAGTAAAACATGCAGATGGTTTAACTAGCCTCTGAATAAGCCATGGAGAAATTTTGTATACAAACAAGCCAGTTCCCCAACTACAAAAATCTTATTGAACTTCATCTCCAAGTTCTAACTCAATACAATCCATGTACAGTAATTACAATTAAAATACAATACTCATTTACTATTGTTCTGTACATTTAAACCGCTAGAGTAGAACTGGTTTTTATCTATTTTTTGACAAGGTGAACTTGTTTTCAACTAGTCCTGGACTGAACCAGACACACCACTTAATATCCCTAATATCACGTACTGCTGATAAATCAAAAATACTTAGACCTTGTCCCAAACAAAATCTCTTTCTCAATCTCAACAAAGGAGAGATGTGTGCTGTCATCTTCAGTTCAATGGATATTTCTTAAATATGCTATTGATTATCTTCATATAATAAATCACAGAATATTTTAAGAACCATTGCATATATTTTTTGAAAAGAGAAAACCTGTTTAATAAACTTTGCACGATACGTTTGATGAATTTGAAAACGAGGATGAAGCGTTGAACAAAGCCGAAGGGTATTTCACGGAAGGAACCCTCGACAACAATCTTTTCAAGAACCCATGAAGTAATCATTGCAGCCCTGCCGTATGCCTTGCCAATATCGAAGAATTACCAACACAAGGCAATCTCCATTCGTTAGTAAAGTTTCTGTTTCAGGGTGTGTTACAGATATAGAAGTCGGAACATTAATACTAAAATTATTGACCTTAAAATATGCATCTGACAAATATTTTAACAAATGTCACTGTCAAATTATTGCCTCATAAGTTTAAGCTTTACTATATTAATTTATTATATTAATTTACTATATTGATTTTTAACATTTAGCATTATTCAGTGTTTTGGGGCATTGCACAGATGTATCATTGCTTTGGCTTACAATAAATCAAAAAGCATCTCGCATATCCTCTTCTTTGGGAAGATCTTTATCCGAAGCAACTATATGTGTTTGATTTTTTTTTGTGAATATAATAATGGTTGTATAATTGTTCACCAATTCTTTATTAAAATAGTTCACATTTAGTCTTTCATGAAAGAAAATACAGAGAAACAAAAATTACTCATTTGATCCCATATACTGTAAGTTATTTTACTATTTTCTTCTTTAAGTACGTATTACACAATTTATTTAAATTAAATAATTTCATGCCGGTTACTATACATAATTGAATTACTTTAAATAACCTATTTACCTATACAGTATAAAAATTATAATATACACGAAAATATCTGCATTTAAAAAGGGATGATTTATAAATATTATCCGAGAAATACACTATAAAAAAAATTAATCAAATTTAATCATAATACTTTTTTTGACATTAAAATTGTGTACTTAATGAATGCGTAATATGGTAACTGATAAAAAGATCGTACAAAGATTTAACATCCCGGCTTTTTATTTTAAAATATATAAAATTTTACAGTTCGATTTATTCAAAGTTCACTATAAAGATTCATTATAGAATATTCTCACGCGTTTTGTATATGCCGTGGCGCTTAGCTATTATTCAATTGACCAGTCAAAATGTATTCTAATTATATATTTTGGAATAGTAATAGTTTAAAGCTCTTTGTTACTAAGTAGTTTTATTTATTAAACGTTTTTAACGATGGGACTTTCTAGCTATTAATTATTACTGCAATTGTTAACGATTAAAAAATTATTGGTAGAATTAGCGTTTGTAATTTTAAAATTAAATATTGCTTTATCGTTATAAAAATCAGTAACGATAACATTTCCACAAACCAATAAGCCCGATTCTAACTAGCTTCGGACCTAGAGCTAAGTACTGTAAACACCCTTTAGATTATACATTCAGAGTTCTGGACACATTTCCATAATACAGT